CTACGCAAAGCTCATACCAAGAACTAACTTAGTTGGTCTTTAAGGTGCTACTGGAAGGAATTTTTTAATTCTGAAGCTGACATTTAAGATGGACTCAGAAGTTCAGACCAGCCCAATCCTGGTAGAAAAAGGAATTATTTGAGAAAGATTGTTCAAAGAAAAAACTGTAATTTACTCTTTATTGTGGGGGTGTTAGGTTCCCAGGTATTTCACTTTTTTAACCACATTTAACTCTGTCTCTTTCTGAAACCTTTCTGATTCCAAAGGTGTCAAATTTTTCCCCAAAACCTTCGCTCTTTGCTTGTTCAATTTAAATCCCGCCACCCGACCAAACTCATTAATCAGTTCTAAGACTCTTTTTGTACTAGATTCTGGCTCCTGTAATGTTAAAACCAGATCGTCTGCAAATGCTTTTAATTTGTATTGTTTCGCTCCGACCTGTATTCCTTGCACCAACCGGTCCTCCCTAATCATGTTCAAAAGTACCTCCAAGACTGAAATAAATAATAGAGGGGATATAGGGCAACCTTGTCGTGTTCCCTTTTCAATTTTGAACTCTTCTGTCACCACATTGTTAACTATCAGTTTAGCTTTTTGCTCAGAATAGATTGCCTCTATTCCATTTTCAAACCCCCGTCCCACTCCCATCCCTTCCAGATTTTTTTTCATAAACATCCAAGAAATATTGTCAAAGGCTTTCTCAGCGTCAATAAAAATCAACACTGCTCTTGTATTCATGTTTGTTTGTAAAAGTTCCAAAATGTCAATAATGTTTCTAGTGTTGGCAAACAAATGCCTACCTGGGAGAAAGCCGGCCTGGTCCTTATGAATTACTTCATTTAATACTTTTTTGAGTCTACTTGCCAAAATGTCCGCAAAAATTTTGTAATCCACATTTAGGAGAGAGATGGGACGGTAGTTCTTAAGTTGTGTCTTTTCAGTTTCCAATTTAGGTATCAATGTGATGAAAGCTTCTTTCCACGATTCCGGTGCCTTCTTCCCCTCCATAATCTGGTTGCAAACCTCCATTAGTGGTTGTAGCAAAAAATCTTTCAGTGTCTTGTAGTACTTGGATGTAAGTCCATCAGGCCCTGGAGATTTACCTAGTTGCATGTTCTGAATAGCACCCTCAATTTCTTGTTGTGTTATCTTATAATTCAGGATTGTTCTCTTTTCCTGGGATAATTTTGGTAATCCATTAGTTTTTAAAAATTGGTCTATCTCAGTCTCTTTCTGCGGCCCTTGCGTGTAAAGTTGTTTAAAGTATCTTTCGAAGCATTTTCTAATTTCCTCGGGTTTCTGAATATTTTTCCCTTCAATCTCTAAATTTGTAACCGTATTCAGTTTTTGACTCTTTTTCAACTGCCATGCTAGCAGTTTCCCACACTTATTTGCTGATTCAAATGATCTTTGTTTCATTAGTTTGATTTTCCACTCAACTTCTTGATTTATCATTTTAGCGTATTGTGCTTGGTGGAATTTAATTTCCCTCAGAACCTCCTGTGATTTGGGTTTTGATCTCAATTTTTTCTCACCATCTTTTATCTTCTCTAAGATCTTATCCTTCTTTTCATTCCAAAGTCTTTTCTTTATCGTATTCTGTTGTATCAGAAACCCTCTCATAACGGCTTTACTTGCGTCCCAGATTACTCTTTTTTCCACTGTGGTGTTCAAGTTTATTTGAACAAGTTTATTCTTGTCAGTTTCTTAACCTTAGTTTCTTTACCGGCCTTTGTTGTTGTTTAGTCGTTTAGTCGTGTCCGACTCTTCGTGACCCCATGGACCAGAGCACGCCAGGCACCTCTGTCCTCCGCTACCTCCCGCAGTTTGGTCAAACTCATGCTGGTAACCTCGAAAACACTATCCAACCATCTCGTCCTCTGTCGCCCCCTTCTCCTTGTGCCCTCCATCTTTCCCAGCATCAGTGTCTTCTCCAGGGAGTCTTCTCTTCTCATGAGGTGGCCAAAGTACTGGAGCCTCAGCTTCACAATCTGTCCTTCCAGTGAGCACTCAGGGCTGATTTCCTTAAGAATGGATGCGTTTGATCTTCTTGCAGTCCATGGGACTCTCAAGAGTCTTCTCCAGCACCATAATTCAAAAGCATCAATTCTTCGGCGATCAGCCTTCTTTATGGTCCAGCTCTCACTTCCATACATCACTACCGGCCTATACCTTCCTAATACCTTCTAACTGATTATCCCAGCTGTTTAAACTGACTCCTCTTAACAGATTCTCTCACTCTCTCGCATCAAACTAGCCCAACCCACAGACTTATCCTCCCTCTCCCTTCTCTAACTCCAGACTCACTTCTTAACTCACTTCCTTGGGTTCCTATTGGTTAATCATTTTACACTTAGTTAACCCTTTCTTTATGACCCAGTATGATGTCATACACCTAGGAGGGCAAACCCCACAGGCCTCCTTAAATATTTTATGGGGGGGGAGACGCCTAGGTCTTTAAGCATTGGCGCCTATTCCTATACCTACGGGTCTCAGGATGGTTACAACATACAAACACAAAACACCACATGTTAAAAAGGCATTAGATGTCAATCAGCCAAAGGCCAGGTAATAAAGGTGCGGATTTCTTGGCTACTAAAGATGTATAATGGTTTTCCCGACCTTTGTATGGATTCTTTTATGGGAAGTGAGTTTCGAGCTTTGACTGAAGCTCTTTCCACTTTCTACACATAGCGTTTCTCCCCTGTATGTATTATTTGATGGCAAATGAGATGGGAGCTCTGACTGAAGCTCTTTCCACATTCCAGACACTGATAGGGTTTCTCCCCTGTATGAATTCTTTGATGGCAAGTGAGTTGGTCCTTCTTCCTGAAGCTCTTTCCACATTCCACACACTGATAGGGTTTCTCCCCTGTATGAATTCTTTGATGGCAAGTGAGTTGGTCCTTCTTCCTGAAGCTCTTTCCACATTCCACACACTGATAGGGTTTCCCCCCTGTATGAACTCTTTGATGGGAAGTGAGATAGGAGCTCTTCCTGAAGCTCTTTCCACATTCCACACACTGATAGGGTTTCTTCCCTGTATGAATTCTTTGATGGCAAGTGAGATGGGAGCTCTTCCTGAAGCTCTTTCCACATTCCACACATTCATAGGGTTTCTCCCCTGTATGAACTCTGTGATGGAAAGTGAGACTCTGGCTGTGACTAAAGCTCTTTCCACATTCCATGCACTGATAGGGCTTCTCCCCTGTATGAATTCTTTGATGGCAAGTGAGATCGCAGCTCTTCCTGAAGCTCTTTCCACATTCCACACACTGATAGGGTTTCTCCCCTGTATGAATTCGCTTATGGGAAGTGAGACTGAAGCTGTGACTGAAGCTCTTTCCACATTCCACACACTGATAGGGTTTCTCCCCTGTATGAATTCGCTTATGGGAAGTGAGACTGAAGCTGTGACTGAAGCTCTTTCCACATTCTACACACTGATAGGGTTTCTCCCCTGTATGAATTCTTTGATGAAATGTGAGAATGTCCTTCCTCCTGAAGCTCTTTCCACATTCCACACACTGATATGGTTTCTTTCCGATGAGATTTTGTTGATGGGAAGTGGAATGGGAGCTCTGACTGCAGCTTTCTCCACACTCTAAATTTTTACGTGGCTTCTCCTCTCTGGGGATTTTATCTTGGTCACCTTTGTTCTCGATTTCCGATTCATTACAATCTGCAATGGAGACAAAATGGGGTTAGACACTCATGAACAAATGGAGAAGAACTGAAGGGTGCTCGGGGGGGTGTTCATTACCTGTGTTGTTTGTCATTAACCAACATATTTATTATGAGATTCTGATGTGTTTTTGAATGTTACTTTGTTTGATATACAGTAGTTGTCAAAATTGCGGAAGCCTTTTGGAGAAAAGTGTATTTCAGAGGTTTGATGGCTCAAAACTCTGCTTCTTTTGGAGTAATATTATAAAATTATATATCAATGGAAAGATAATTTAATCAAGAATGCAATTCAACAAAGTTTGTTTAATTATCCATATTCTATGAAACATTATAGCCAAATAACCAGAAAAAGGAAGCACAACTTGCTTAGGTTGACTTTTGTCAGTGTGTTATATGATTGCTAACAAGTTGGTTGGTTTTCTGTCTTCTTTCATTTAGTGAGGTTGAAAAACATAATAAAATTATAGAAATGGCACAAAGAGTTGACTGGTCACCCAGAAAGCGATGCAAAATTGTACTATTAAGTGAACAGGGCTACAGTTATGAAGAAATTAGAAGAAAGATTGGGGAAAACTTAACCAAAGCTGGCATTTCTATATTTTGGAAGAGGTATAAGGAGACTCAGTGACTACAAAATCAGACCGGTAAAAGCAGGAAAAGGTGCACAAAGGCAAGTGACGATCAAAGAATGGAGAGACTGTCCCTACATGACAGAAGAATATTATCTAGGTGTATACAAGATGACATGGCGCAATGTAATGTGAAGTTGAGTGCAAGGACTGGTCTAAATGTTAGAGTTCTAAGGAAAAAGCCATTGCTATCTCTCAAGCAAAGCTTGAAAAGACAGAAGGAGGAGGAGGAGGAGGAGGAGAGTTTGGATTTGATATCCCACCTTTCACTCCCCTTCAGGAGTCTCAAAGCGGCTAACAATCTCCTTTCCCTTCCTCCCCCACAACAAACACTCTGTGAGGTGAGTGGGGCTGAGAGACTTCAGAGAAGTGTGACTGGCCCAAGGTCACCCAGCAGCTGCATGTGGAGGAGCGGAGACGCGAACCCGGTTCACCAGATTACGAGTCTACCGCTCTTACCCACTACACCACGCCATGACTAAACCCTTGTTAAGTGGACAGTGGAACAATGGGACAGTGTTATTTGGAGGGATGAGAGCCAAATCTCCTTGCTTGGTAGTGATGGCATGAAATACACAAGGAGAAGAATCAGAGAAGATTTACATCCTACTTGCATTACACCGACTGTGAAACACCCAGATGGTGTGATGATCTGGGGTTGTATGGCAGCAAAAGGTTTGGGCAGAATTTGTGTCATTAATGGGAATGTAAATGCCCCAGAATACATAAATGAAATACTTTAGCCCGAACTGAAGTGTTCCGCAGGTGATCTTTCAGAGATACTGAAGCATATTTATTTATTTATTTTTCTATTTCAACAAAATTCAGCTCCGTCATGTTGCTGCTGTGTGCAAACGGTGCTTTCAAGATAATCCTATTCCACTGCTGTAAGGGCCTGGGAATAGCCCAAACATTAACCCAATCAGAAATCTATGGAGCCAACTAAAGAAAATTCTTTGTTAGAAGCAATCCAGCAATAAAGCCCAATTAACAGAGGCAATAATTCAGTCTTGGTTTCACATTCTTACAGGTGCAGAACTAAAAATTTGGTTTACTTCATGGGAAGGCATTGTAAGGCCGTAATTAAAGCTAAAGGTTACCAATGGTTACCAAAGGTTTCACGTTTTTTCTTTATGACTACTGTTCTAATAAATACTCCATCATAACAAATACTCCTTCATAAAAGTCATTTCATTAAATTCTTCATTAAATTATCTTTCCATTGATATATAATTTTATGGTATTAGTCCACACAAAAGTGGTGTTATGAGCCATCAAACCTCAGAAATACACTTTTCAAAAAAGGTTTCCACAATTTTGGCCACCAGTGTAAGTTGTTCATTTTAAGTTAATGTTCTTTTTATATGGGATCAGAATATTATTATTTATGTTTCATGTTTATATATGTGTTGGAAGCCGCCCAGAGTGGCTGGGTAGAAATAAAAATGTCAGCTTTGTTCCGGAGCTGACTGAGGCTGGAATGTATGAAAGCAGGCAAAGAGAGATAAGGACACTGGAATGTGAGCCGGAATGTGAGAGGGAGGAGGGGCAGCCGAGTGGCAGAGCTTCAGAGAACAGAGAGCAGGCAGCAGATAGGAAAGATCCACAAAATACCAATCTTAGCTCAGAGACAGAAGGGGAGAGGCCAGGAATGGCTAGCCCAAAAACTCGAAGGCGCGGAAAGGTCAGTGAGAGGAAGGGGAAAGAGCTGAAGCGAAAGGGTTTATTCCCCTCTTGGAAGAAGAGGAAGGGGCGGAGTTTAGACTTGGCAACTGCAAACTTGAAGTCAGACACGGAGTGAAGGAGCTCCGGAGTGATTTATGTGTTTGAGCAATAAACCTGAGATAATTACTGCCGGTGTCTCGCTTCCGTGGGAGAGCCAAGCCATTACAAAAAATTATTATTATTACTACAGTGGTACCTGTTCTGGAAAAAAATAAATTTGTAAACCGAGGTACCACTGTATCATCATCATCATCCTCATCACTGCTACCACTACCTGAGATTCCATAAGCCTAGCTCTTCTCTGAGATGGATTTTGTTTGGCCCAGTCATGGCATCCCCTCCATCTCCAATGTCAGTCCTTGTTATGGCTTGGTCTCTCCCACAAACGTGAGACGACTGTTAATAATTTCAGATTTATTGCTAAAACAACAAACTTGGACGGAGCTCCTCTACTCATCATCCTCCCCACAAGATGGAGTTGCCCAGACTGAGCTCCTCCCCCTTCCCCAGCACAGAAGCCCCCACCTTCTCTTCCAGTATCTTTAAATTTGGCAGAGAATGCTTCCTGCATTCCAGCGTCTGACTCACTCCTGTAGCTCTCACACAGCTGTCTGTCACTCTGTCTCTGTTTTTCTTCTCCCTTTTGTTCAGAGCTCAGATGACAGTTCCTCTCCCCCTCCTCTCTGCCTTCCGCTGCTAACTCCCCTCTCCCTAGGCCTGCTTCTTCTCTGGCTGGCAGCCCCTGAGCTTCGCTGCCAGTCGGCTCTTTGGTCAACATTGAAGATGGCCTGGGAAGTTGAGACCAGCCAATCGTGGTAGAAAAAGGAATAATTTGAGAAAGATTGTTCAAAGAAAAAACTGTAATTTACTCTTTATTGTGGGGTGCTAGGTTCCCAGATGTTATAGGGGGCACTGTTGAGCTCTGTGAAAATATATGAGGTTGGTCCCATAGAGGTATTTTTTGAATTTCCAGGCAGATATGACGATCCCACAGGGAGCCTTACCAAGAGAGGCCACGATCCCACGATTCTCCTCCATGACGTCCTTATGCAGAGCTCTCTGGTCAGGATCCAGCAACACCCACTCCTCGTCCGTGAAACGAACAGCAACATCTTCAAAGCACACTGGACCCTAAAAGAAAAAGGGAAATGTCCTCTGAGACAGCAGAAATATGATCTGCTACACAATGCTCTGTTGTATCCTTCCTAATAATAATAATAATAATAATAATAATAATAATAATAATAAATTTATACCCTGCCCATCTGGCTGGGTTTCCGCAGCCAGAACTCTGGGTGGCTTCTAACAAAACACTAAAATACAATAATCTATTAAACATTAAAAGCTTACCTAAACTGGGCTGCTTCTAGATGTATTCTAAAAGTTTGGTAGTTATTTTTCTCTCTGACATCTGGTGGGAGGGCATTCCACATGGCGGGTGCCACTACCAAGAAGGCCCTCTGCCTGGTTCCCTGTAACTTGGCTTCTTGCAGCGAGGGAACCGCCAGAAGGCCCTCGGCGCTGGACCTCAGTGTCTGGGCAGAACGATGGAGGTGGAGACGCTCCTTCAGGTATACTGGACCGAGGCCATTTAGGGCTTTAAAGGTCAGCACCAACACTTTGAATTGTGCTCGGAAACATACTGGGAGCCAACGCAGGTCTTTCAGGACCAGTGTTATGTGGTCTCGGCGGCCACTCCCAGTCACCAGTCTAGCTGCCACATTTTGGATTAGTTGTAGTTTCAAGGTCACCTTCAAAGATAGCCCCACATAGAGCGCATTGCAGTACTCCAAGCGAGAGATAACCAGAGCATGCACCACTCTGGTGAGACAGTCTGCGGGCAGGTAGGGTCTCAGCCTGCGTACCAGATGGAGCTGATAAACAGCTGCCCTTGACACACAATTGACCTGTGCCTCCATGGACAGCTGCGAGTCCAGAATGACTCCAAGGCTGCGCACCTGGTCCTTCAGGGGCACAGTTACCCCATTCAAGACCAGGGAGTCCCCCGCACCTGCCCACCTCCTGTCCCCCCAAAACAGTACTTCTGTCTTGTCAGGATTCAACCTCAATCTGTTAGCCGCCATCCATCCTCCAACTGTCTCCAGACACTCACAGAGGACCTTCACTGCCTTCACTGGTTCCGATTTGAAAGAGAGGTAGAGCTGGGTATCATCCACATACAGATGAGCACTCAGCCCAAACCCCCTGATGATCTCTCCCAGCGGCTGCATGTAGATGTTGAAAAGCATGGGGGAGAGGACAAGACCCTGAGGCACCCCACAAGTGAGAGCCCAGGGGTCTGAACACTCATCCCCCCTCCACTTTCTGAACACGGCCCAGGAGGAAGGAGCGGAACCATTGTATGACAGTGCCCCCAGCTCCCAGCCCCTCAAGACGGTCCAGAAGGATGTTATGGTTGATGGTATCAAACGCCGCTGAGAGATCCTGCAGAAATAGGAAACAGCTCTCACCTTTGACCCTAGCGCGCCGGAGATCATTGACCAGTGCGACCAAGGCAGTTTCAGTCCCACAATGAGGCCTGAATCCCGACTGGAAGGGATCCAAATGGTCCGCTTCTTCCAGGC